GGCTCGGCGTCGCGACTCGGGCGGGGGCGCGCAGCGAATGAAGGAACCGAAAGGAAGATCAGCCAGAAAGGGAAGCCCGAATCGAGCGCGCCAGCTGGGCCCCCCTCCCCATCATGCCTCGCTCTGCGGCAAAAGCAAACATGCAGCGCAGCGTGCGTCCGCGGCCCAGCGGCGCCCAACAGAAAGCGGGCCCCCACCTGGACAATGCCGTGAGATATTTCGGCAACCGCCGCGAGCGCCTCGTCGCCAGGGGCGGCGGCGGCGCGCGCAATTCTAAGTCCCCGGCAAGCACTCGCCAGTTCTCGGGCACCACCCGCGAAACGAGATTATAAGTCGCCCCCGGAGGCCGTGAAATTCCCAGAGAAATCACGCGCATGCGCCGTCGACTTGCCATGGGAACCCCGCGCAGAAATGAGGTTCGAGGCCCAGTCGCGAAGCGCCACGAACGCAGTTTCCCCAGCGAGCCCCTGCGATTGATCGTCAGCCGAACGCCAGTGATCCACGGTGGTAGGAAGTCCGAAGCAAGAATGGCCAGAGCATGGTCCAGGAGCTCCCAGTCCTTTGTTTTAACTCTTACGGAGTTGCAAAAGGAAGTCTCTGCCATATCGCATGCCACAAGATATGTGCATATCGAAAGGCACCAAGAGATGTTGGACGGAGACTGCGCCCTTCCTCAGACGCTCGGAACTCGACATCTAAACGCTGCCATCCCCAGGTTCCGCCGATGGCTCGGGCTCGGCGACGTCAACGATCGCCAGCCGGGCCGGCAATTTCGACCGCCGCAGGTTCATTGAGACCGGGAGTAAAATCAGAACACCCATCGTTGACGTCCAAGGGTAGATTTCCCAAGACAGCCACCACCAGGCCGCTCGCATTCCCCGGCCCGAATGTCCCCGACTGGGCCGGGGGCAACGGGGCAGCTGCAACAGCGCCCGCTGCTCTGGAAGTCAGCCCGCGTCTGCTGGCGATTCAAGGCGACTTATAGAAGTGGGCGACGACGCCCGCGGATTGTATTCCTAGCGGAAGCGGCTCGCCCAGTCGCACTACCGGGCGGCCGCCCGCGCAACTGCGGCGATCAACCCTCTCGCGCGCGGGTCAGAGGTTGCGCGGGCCTGGACAGCTAGTAGGGCCCCCCCCAGCAGCTCCTACGTCACCCAGAAAAGCCGCGGCGCCCAGCACCACGCGACTCCACCTCTCGAGAGCGACTGCCGCCATGGCGACTGCGCAGCTCCACATGCTGACGGCGTTTAGTGCGATAGCTCCCCGTCGACCGCCGGGCAAACTCGCTGCCCGTCGGGCAAGAGCAAGCGCGGGGCGCGGCGCGCGGGCCAATGAAAACTCAACCAATGGCCGACGCACTGCTCCCCGACGGAGAGCACGCTGGGGGGGCGGGGCATCATTGATGCTTTGAAAGGACCGCCTGTTCACGGCATGCCACGCTAACTGAAACGAGGACCCAGCTGGATCCCCTGGCAGCATTCTGGGTAAGATCGGGAGATAATCTCCTGATCTTACCCTTAGCACCGGCACTTCACATGAATATTTCAGCAATGAAGTCGAATCCAATGCCTGCGCCTACGACGGAATGCCTCGATCCCAAGCTAGCGCGATCATTCCCTCGATCTCTTGCGGCGGCGTTGCCCCCGGAGTCATTTTCCCACCCTGGTCACAACTGCCAAACCTCACTTTCGAGTTCCGAGGCTTTGGCAATAGCTGCCAGCGCAGATGTCGTAGACTTGGCGACGACGATGGAATGCGTTTCCTCGCAAACCCATCGGACCCCCTCCAAGTTATGGCGGGGCCCCTCGCGCGAGCATGGAAATGAGCTGGCAGGTCACGCGCTGCAGAGCGCGCCGTTCTCGCGCATCTAGGCCTCGGGGCTGCGCCATGCACTGTCTCGATGGCAGCCTTGGGAGCAAAGCGAGCATCGCGGCCGCTCCACGTCGCGCCCCAGCACCGCCTCTCGCCGCCAGGTCTTCGACTGCATCAGTAGACAATCGTAGAAGCGCAGAATGCATCGGCCAAATAGAACGGCCATAATCATTAAATCACCGACGGTCAGCGCGCCCCGGAAGTCGAGTGGCTGAGCTACTGACCTCCGGTAACAAACGCCACGGGCGCCCAGCAGCGCTGGCGCGGATCTTGCAATGGGCGCCGAAAGGGCCTCGCGACGGAGGGGCCCTCGGACGGATTCTTGGAGCCCGTGGAGCCAGGAATGGTCGATCGATCTCTGACGCCCCCACCCGCGCCCTTCTCCTTCTTGGGCTCGCCCCGCCCCCCCGCTTGACCCGCCAGACATCCCGGCCCGCGCTCGGCCCCCCGCCCGGAAGAGCCGGTCGCGGAGCAGGAGCGGCCGCGGCTGGCCCGTTACTGAACGGGCGCCCCTGGTCTTCCTCAGGGCAGGGAACCCGCGTCAACGCGCGTCTGCAGGCGGCGCCTTCCCTCATTCGTCCGCCCTCGACTGCGCCCGCGGGCTTCTCCGGCGACTTCTCGGGGTCAACAGGGCCCGGGGTAGCAGGATTGCACTCGCTTTTTCTTCTTTGATTGAAAGCCTCTTGCCAACAATCCAAATTAAACTCGCCCCGTTCCTGTTCCATGCATTTCTGTCATTGATGCAACAGCCATCCATATATTTGGACATGCGTTCCTATCTTAGTTCCATTGAGCTCGCAATGCGCAATTTCCTGGTGCACTTCCGAGACAAGCCCCACTTGCTCATAGAGATGCTCGTGGACGGCCGCGCCCATCACCGGAGACGGCAAGGGGCCCCCGCCAAGATCACGGCGCAGAGAGATCCACTTGCCATGCAAAAAGCATAAGTCTTCATTAAGAAAATACTCCTGAATGAGGACCGTGAAAAAATCTCGCACGGCCGCGCTCCCTCCGTGCTCCGCGCGAACGGAGAGCCAATGGAAAATCAGACGCACCATCTCTCGCCCCGTGAGCAATCGGACCTCAGCGCGAGCGTCGCGCTCCATTCGTGAAACCTGCGCAATGAGATGCGTCTGATGCGGCGGAAGATCAAGATTCTGTCTCATATCGGAAATTTTCGCGGTTAAGCCCGAAGCAATCGCCATATCAAGCCGATCAAACTTCCCCGATCAGAACTTAAAGGGCTACGTAGGAAAGCTTCGTCTTTCACGATGCATCTTCCGAATTTGCTCGCCCCGTGGTCTGGGTCATGTGAACCTGCCGTTATTTGGCCGCGTTGTTCCCCGCCTCTCTGTTGCCATTCCAGGAAAATGAGACGGCGACAATTGCCCTCATTCTCATCTAGACAATCCGAGCAAAACGAATGTAGATCGCAATGAGGGCGCACGTGCGCGCAGCATCCACGCAAGGGACGTCGGCGCGGACCGTTGACACTCGTGGACTTCCCTGGACATCTGCGTTCGGCCGACGGGGGACATCGGGGTCTTCGTGTCCAACAACCCACTTTGATCGAAAGGCATCCCGATGGGGGGGCCCGGGGCCCCCGGCTGTTCCTCGACCTCGCACGCGTCCTAGATGCCAGAGGCGATCGAGACATTGGCCGCCCGATGGTGCCACGTGGAAATAACATTTCGACAAGGATTGCCCCTTCGGTCTCTCGCGTGACGGGACAAGGCTCATCGCCGAGCAAACCTCCAGCTATGCTGGAAAACCTGCTTCGGCAAATCGCGCTCCATGATAAAATTGTCAGCTACTTTGGAACGCTTCGCCGCCGGTGTCTCCCCTGCGCTGTTTCTCGCGCGTTCTGTCTGGGACACGCCCATCGACTTTGTTCCCGTCACGGATGGAAACTCAGGACTAACGCCATCATCGTCCATGACGGCAGAGGGGTCACGACCCCAGTTATCACCCCCATCCACTGGTTGAGCCACTGTCGAGAAATTATTGTGTGTCGGGACGAAAAAGTCGCCCATCAAAGATATAACGGGATCACCAAGCGAAACATGGCCCAATGCGTCATTCGTAGAATTGCTTGAAAGATCCCTTGTGGCCTCAAATGGTACAAGTACATTGGGATCGCTGTCCGTAGTCATTTGCACGTAGGGCACAACAACTGAATTGTCGGCCGAGAACCAGTCGATTACCAGAGGAGCACGCTTCCCGGCAAAAGTGGGGTATGAAGGTGACATTCATGAATCGGTACCATAGTTCAGAATAGGTACCTCTAACATGCCTTCGATAACCTCCGCTGTAAAACAATAGATGCAAGCGAAAGAGAGAAGAGGAGGGACGACGAAGACGAACCCTCCCCTTTTCAGCGCGCTCGGCAGCGGGCCCGCGGTGCCCGACCCTTGATATCTCAAGAGCTGCAGCGGGCGGCGGCAACGAGCGAGCAGGAGGAGAGATTAAACAACGAATCACAAACGAATTAAGCATGGCGCGCGCACGGAGATTCGACGATACATGCTTGGCCGGCTCCTGGTGCCCATCTTGTTGCACGGAGTTCAACCAGCGACCCTGGCTGCTATCACATGTCTCCGGCTCGCGACGCCCGCGATGCAGAGAATGAATGTTGAAGCAATGCGAGCCAATTACAGATGCAGCAGTGCGCGCAATGGATGAGGGTGACGGAGATTTTACCGCAACGCTCAGAGAGCGGGCCACAGCCATCACTTAGCTGTCGGTCCCGCCACGACTGCGACAGGTTGCGATCTTGGCCACGTCGCTTGCTAATGGGCTGCGCGGCGAGCATGTCTGAGCAATTTGCTGTATACTGGTCTCGTGACCTCGCCCGGGTGTTTTTACTCCCGTTCCCATTCACATTCGGTGACGCTGCTACTTGAGGCTACCACTCCTCGAAAATAACAACATTAGAGCCCCATACTTCCTCTAAAAAGTCGCCACGCTGCCCTTGCTTCCCAGCGCTCTTTCTGGCGCTCTTCCAAGCCCGATGACGGCTCCAACACCGCTCCAAGACGGCCTCTTGCCCCCTCCCCTCCCTGCCCAATGCAGCTTGGAGGGGTTTGGGGGGAAGAAGGAAAGGCTCTGCTTGGGACAGTCCGGATCGCCCTTGCCCAACCTGAGCTTCATGTTGTACCGCTGGGTGGGAGGGTGCACCTGAAGAGGCGGTGAAGGAGGATGGGGAAAGCGAGGAGGCGGAACACAAGGATAAGAAACAGGAGCAGTAAGAAGGTAAGAAGGAGGAGGAGGAGGAGGAGGAGGAGGAGGAGGAGGAGGAGGAGGAGGAGGATGGGGAGAAGGAGGAGCACGAGGAGAGGGAGGAGGTGGAGGAGGAGGAGGAGGAGGAGGAGGAGGAGGGAGGAGAAGGAGGAGGAGGAGGAGGAGGAGGAGACGAAGGCGCCGAGGTGGCGACGACGGGGCCGCAACCACGCGCCGCCGCGGGAGGACGACGCGGAGACGAGGCGGCGCGGACGACGAGTCGAAGACGAGGAGCGAGGACGCGGCGGCGAGTCCCGAGGCCGAGGAGCGCGTTTCTGTGTGTTCGGCGATGACGGGCGTCATAGGGGGGGGGGGCGGGGGGGAGAGGTATGACATAACGCCCCCCCCGCCGTGTGGCTGCGGCACCACAGCCGCGCCCGCGCGCACGACGCGACGAGCGACGACGACGACGACGACGACGACGACGACGACGACGACGACGACGACGACGACGACGACACGACGACGTCGCGAGCAGCATGTAGGTGGCGATCTGCCCCACTGCGCCTGTGTACACCACAACGCTCGCGTGCACCACAGCGCGCGTGTACACCACAGCGCTTGCGTACACCGCAACAACCGTGTGCAACGCAACGCCTGTGTACACCACATTGCTTGCGTACACTACAGCGCGGGTGTGCATGTGTACAGTGTACACCGCAGCAACCACGTGCAACACAGCGCCTGTGTACACCACGCGATGCTTGCGTGCACCGCAGCGCCTGTGCACGCCACACAACCAGCGTACACCACAACATCAGCGTGCAACGCAGCGCTGGTGTACACCACAATGCCTGCGTGCATAAGAAAGGAGCATGTATGTGAGGATCTGCTGCGGACAACTAAACGCCACGCCAGGAAAGTGCTGATAATCAAATGCGACGTTCTTCCCTCCTCCCTCCTCCTCCACCTCCACCTCCTCCTCCTCCTCCTCCTCCTCCTCCTTGCCCCCTGTCGCGCAGGTTGGCGCACAGCGCACGTGCGCATCCCAGCGTGCACCGCAAATTGGCCTACTGGATCGGCCCATTTGGTCCTCGGACGGCCAATGTAGCCGGGGCCTCCTGGACGCAGATGGGGGGAGTCACGGTGGTGCGGGCGGGCCCGGGAGGACTCGCAGATTCCACCGGCGCTCCTTCGTCCATGAAGATTCCTTTCTATTGTTCTCTGTGGAATCCACAGACGCTCCATTTTGTCATACAGATTCCTTCTAACATTCTATATGTACACCAATGGTGCTGTGTTGCACAAGGTTGCTGTGGTGCACACAGGTGCCGTGTACCCGGGCACTGCTATGCACGCAGGCATTGTGTACACTGGTGCTGTGGTGCGCACGGCTGATGTGGTGTACGCAGGCGCTGCGGTGTATACAAGAGCTGTTGTGCCCGCAGGCACGGTGGCACAAACTGACGCTGTGTTGCACGCGAGTGCTGTGGTGTACATAGGCGGTGTGGTTTACACAGGCGCTGTGGTGGCAGGCACTGTAGTGTACACAGGCGTTGTGGTGCAGATCGCCACCTAGATGCTGGTGTTACCCGTCCTCCGCCATTCCTGGGCATTCCCAGACGCCGCCGGCGCGAAACGTGACATCATCGACCCCCTCCATCCCCCCCCGATGACTGCCGTCGACGGCCCGGAAAAACAGGAAGAAGAAGGAGAAGAAGAAGAAGAAACATGATGATAAGAATAAACAAAAAATCCAGCCGCGTCCGCGCGCACGACGACGAGGAGCGACGAGCGACGAGGCACGAACGACGACAACGACGACGACGACGACGGCGACGACGAGGACGATGACGACGGCGGACCAGACTCCCATGCGGATTCCTACGCGGACACCTACGCGGATCCCAATGCGCACGGCTGCAGTGCCCGTGACCGGAGCGCACTGGGGGGGAGAGCGTTACGTCATAGGGGGGGGAGGGGGCAGCGGGGGCCATGACGCCCGTTCGAATGGAGGGCGAGCAGGACGAGCAGGAGCAGAACCAGGAGCAAAAGAAATGGAGACTGCAACGAGGAGGACCATCAGGAGCAGGAGCAAGAGCGGGAGCTGGAGCGGGAACTGGAAACGAATCTAATTTACATATACATTTTTACACACACATGCATGCACAACAGAAACAACTAATGTTCCTCCTCCTCCTCCTCCTCCTCCTCCTCCTCCGCCTCCCTCTGCTGCTCCTCATCCCTATCCTGGTACGCTCCTCCTCCTGCTTTCCCTGCTGCCCTCATGATTCTCATAGGACCGATGCGCTTTCCAATGAGATCCTTCATGAGGCGCACTCGAAAGCACGAATTGAGCTGATCAGGCGCTCTCCGACGGCAGGCCGGAAGACGCTGAAACCCCCCAGGCATACCTCGGCGCTTCCGCCCCTCCTCCTCCAGGAGGAGGAAAAGAGGAGGAGGGCAGAAGGAGAAGGAAAGAGAAGCAGAGGAGTCCGCCCCCCCCTCCTCCTCCTCCTCCTCCTCCTCTCCTCCTCCTCCTCCTCCTCCTCCTCAGGGTCCTCCTCCTCCTCCTCCTCCTCCTCCTCCTCCTCCTCCTGTTCCTCCTGCCCTTGCTGCTCCGAGCCGGCGGCGGGGCCCGGCACCACTGGCCGCAGCAGCCCAGCGGCCGGGCGCGGGGACAGCTTGGCGGCCCTCGTCTTGCGGTTCAGGGCGCGCCGCTTCTTCCGGCCCGCCTCGGCGGTGCGCCGGCGGCCGCCGCCCGCCCGAGTCCCCTGAGATCAGCGCAGTGCGCGGCCTTCTCCTCATACGTTGCACAACGCGGGACTGAGCTGATAGCGGACTGCTGCGGAGCAAGCCTGCGCAGGCGCGCTGAACTCCATGTGGGCCACGATCCGGGTGAACGGGATGTCGAAAAATCCAGGTGCCCTCGCGCGAACCCGCCCACTGAGGCCGCAGGGGGAGCTCCTTCTGGGGCACGACCCGTGTGAGGCATGTGCCAAAATGGACGGGGTGGCGCTATGCGAAGCTGCCCATTGGTGCCATAGGTGCTCGCTCCAAAGAACAATTCGCATAAACAGTGTGCCGACATGGACGGAAGGATCGATTGCAAACTTTCTCTCTGGGTCTGTGGGTGGTGCTCCCTGTGGGGCACGTTCCGCACGAGGGATGTGCCAGTGGGCGGGGGGAGGTGCTACGCAGACCTTGTCTCTGGAGCCGTCGGTGGGGCTCCATGTGGAGCACTATCAGTGGGAGAGGTGTGCCGAAGCAGGCGGGGGGCGGGATGCGAACCTCGTCTCTGGGGCCCTATGTGGAACTCCCTGCAGGGCACGATCCGTGTGAGAGGGTTGCCAACGTGAGTGGGGCAGCGCTATGCCAAGCTTTTCTTGAGCTGCGGATACCTGAGGGGCATCATTGTCCGCGCGAGGGGCGCGCCGCTGTACAATCGGGCCGTAGGTGGAGCTCCTTGTGGGGCACGATCCCTGCGAGTGGTGTGCCGACATGGGCGGGAGGCCGTAGGTGGAGCTCCCCGAAGGCATGGTCCCTGTGAAGGATGTGCCGGACTGGGCGGGGAGACGTGATTCGGAGATGTATGTCCACGAGAGCGCAGGTGTTCCCATGTGGTGATCGCGGTGGTGGATGGCGCGCGTACTCATCCGCTGACTGATGTGACGCTCGCTCTGCCTTGGTGAGAACGTCGGCGCGCGAAGCGCGCGCGTTGGTCTGGTATGCGTATCCGCCGATCCGGCGTGTGACCTACAAGGAGCCTCAACAAGAGCTTCAGCTCTGAGCCTAAGCAAGAGTTTCAGCTCTGCTTGGGGGGATCGCCGGGGTGGCTCTGCCCTGGCGTTCAATAGTTTGCACATCCCCAAGATGTTTCGGGGGGTCCCAGTGACTCCCTCAGATCTAGCCGCTACCGCCCCTAGGACCCTCCCCTCGGGACCCTCCCCGGACCCCCCCCCCCGGGACCGCTCCAGGCACCCGTCCAAAAGAGAAGAAAGAGGACCGGAAGAATCGAAGAGGGAGGAGGCCACAGAGCCGCGAAGATCACCGAATCCAGAGCCCCCCGGGTCGGCGGCACTGGCCGGAGGCCATTTCAATACATATAATTCCCAACCATCCCGTGGAATTCGGTCCTAGATTTGAAGAGGCAGCGCCCCGCGTCTCACTCACCTCCTCTCCTCTTCTCTCCTCGCCTCTCCTCTCCTTTCCTCTCCTTTCCTCCTCCTCCCCTCCTCCCGCTCCTCACGGCCCCTGGCCGTGACAAGTTCACAGATTCCTCTGAAGTAGTTACCCACACATGGTTTGAACATGAGGTACAACAAAGCGTCAAAAATCGCAGGTCGAACAGAGAACCATTACCGACAATGGCACGCCCGTAGAGTGCAATGCGAACCAATGCAAAGCAGTGAAGAGAATGGAGTGTCCACGCTTGTACTGCAATGCAACGCAGTGCCATGGAAGCCAGATGCGAGCACCATGCAGCGAGAAGCACTGAAAGCAAAAGCACGCAAAGCAATATAATGCAGTACACATCATGCAAAGCAAGGCAATGCTCACCAGCACAATGTGGTTTGCGGAGACATGCCATTGCACATCTGTCTGAAAGCAGCCAAGTGAAATACAATGCAGTAGAATGCACAACAATGCAAGAAGACGGACGAACCCGAGGGCTCCAGAACCTCAGATCCCGGGTATAAGGTGAACTGAATATAAGTGGTGGATGCCCCTATTCCGCCGTCGATCAGCCTCCATATGACGCAAGCGCACCAGCTCGTCCTTTTCCTCGTCCCCCCTCCCCTCCCCCTCCTCCCTCGGGGATCTTCTGACCCGGGTCAATCCAGATCCGGGTCAGTCAAGCCTTGCAGAATCCTGCAAAATCCTGCACCGAAACCCGAGTCGATGCGAAGGATCCTGCAAACTCCTGCAGGATCCTGCACCCAAACCCGGGTCAATGCGACCCTGGCCCTGCAGGATCCTGCAACCCAGACCCCCGACGTAATGAATTTTTCATTACGTCGACCCCAGAGTTCTCGACCCCTTCCCCAGGACCGGTTTGTCCTCCTAAGTCGTTTTTTGACGCTCCCGAGGCCCGGCGAGGGCCCCCCGAGGCCGAAAATGGCGAAAAACCTCCCGTCGTGATTTTTGTCATTACTCGAGGGGGTCTGGGAAGATCGGGGACTCTGGCTGACCCCCGCTTGCCTTGACGCCCGCCTCAAAGCTCCCCGACTCCCTCCCGCAATCGATCCTCCGGCTGGTCGGCCGGCCCCGGCGGGGGACCTCGGCCAACGCACGTTTTCAGGATTGCAAAAAAAAACCGAAGGATTGCAAAAAAATCCCAGGATTGCAAAAAACGAAGGATTGCAAAAAAAAAACCTGCGTTCAAGGGTTTGTTTTGCAATCCTTCGTTTTTTGCAATCCTTCGTGCAAGACCTCGCTTCCAAGAGATACCAAGCGATGCCAAACTGCGGCCTGTGCTGGTCAGGCCGCTTTGACGAGGAGGCGCGTGGTTATGGCTTGGCTTTGCCTGGAAGCGAGAGCGGGGCAGGCAATTCACGCCCTGAATCGCTGGGCCCCCTGGGCCAAGAGGGGGCGAAGGTGGAGGAGGAGGAGGAGGAGGAGGACGAGGAGGAGGAGGACGAGGAGGAGGAGGAGGAGGAGGAGGAGGAGGAGGAGGAGGAGGGGGAGGAGGAGGAGGAGGAGGAGGGCAGGCAATTCACGCTCTGATTTTCAGGTGGCAAGGCGTCGCAGTCGTGGCCATGGCGCAGTGGCCATGGCCATGGCGCAGTGGTCTCGGCAGCTGGCCCTGCCCAGGCCGTCGGCTCCTCCCTCGCACGAGGGGCAGCCGGGCCAAGAGAAAGCACGGAGCCCAGACCCCCCCGAGTACTGGAAAAATCATTATCACAGTACCTCATCCTATCCTCCGCCAAGGGTTACTCCTTCCTCCTGCTCCTTCCTACCCCTTGCTTTTCTCTGGGACTCTCATTGCGTAACCAGTTGCCTCTTCTCGCGCCAAGTGCAAGGGACTCTGGGGGCCCTCACCGGGCCTCGGGAGCGTCAAAAAACGACTCAGGATGACCAACCGGTCCTGGGGAAGGGGTCGAGAACTCTGGGGTCGACGTACACGTCGGTCGGAAGAAGTAGGTAAAGACATGAAGTAGGAAGGCGGATATAGTAGATTGGGTCCAGGTCCTCCCAGAGGATAACAAAACACAGCAAAAGCATGCCGATTTTTGAAGTAGGAAGGCGTTTGAAGTAGATTCGGATCTGGGAATCCAAAAATGGCGTGTAATGAAAAAAACATTACGTCGGGGGTCTGGGAGCAAAGGCTACGGTGGGAGCCAAGCCAGATGGCAACATGTCGCAGCGGCGCCGGCCGCTCGTGGCCTGGCTCCTCCGCTTCGGCGGCAGGCGCTGCGCAAACTCTTCAGGCGCGGGCACTCGGTGCGCTCCTCTCTGAAATGCTGAGGCTCGCGTCAGAGACAAAGCTGTTATGGGGGAACGAAGAACGGCATGAACATACAAACTCGGAGGCCGCGCGGGTTTCTCGGATCCGCGCTGGAGCCCCCTGGCGGCGCCTCCGGCGCCGCCCTTGGCGCGCTCCGCGCGCCAGTGAGGGGGGTTCAGCGCCGATCCGAGAAATCCGCACGGACCTCCGTGTTTTTATGTTTATGTGATTCTTCGTTCCCCCATGTTAACTGATCGGGTCCAACTCAAGTCACCCCCACTCGGCCGGGAGGTTCATCTGCACAGAGCTTCTGGCTGTGCTCGGGGCTCCCCGCTGCGTACTTCTGGCCGTGACAGGGGCCTGGTGCGCGCTGCTGGCCGTGATCAAGACGTCTCCGAGCGAGGGCAAACCGTGCCTCCCCTGGCAGATGTGCTTCAGCTCGGCAAGGTCCTGCCTGATCAGCGCCTGCAGCTTGATGACGCGTGTGATCTCCAGGGACTGGTTGTTGCACGTCAGCCGCGTCATTCCGTCCAGGAACTCCTCTATTGTCACCTCCGTTGAGCCGTCCACGTCCAGAGCTTCGAAGAGATCATAGAGAGAGTCCACATTGAGTAGCCTCTCCAATTCGCTCTGAACATCCTCGGGAGCAGCATTCAACTCCTCCAGGGTGACACAGCCACTGTCATCCAGATCCAACTCTTCGAACATTTTCCTCAGTTGCGGCAACAGTGCCGACATGCGCTGCTCGTTATACATCTTGCGCGTTTCCTGGTCGCGCTTTGCGTGGTCCAAGAACACCTCGATGACCACGGCGGTCACCAGGTTCATGAGGATGACGGACACCACCAGGAGGAACGGCAGAAAGAAAAACATGAGCCAGACGTTTTCCCTGATCATTGGCGTGTATATGGTCGCCACACTGTCCATGGTCACAAACTGCACGAGCGTCAGCATGATCATAGGCAGTGTGGCAAAATATCTATCCACCATCTCTTGGGACGCCGCCCCGCTGATGCTTGCCATCACCTCCACGCCCAGACACGCGAACACGAAAAGCGCCAGCAGGAGGACACAGAATACGTTCATGATCGTGGGCAACGGCGAGAGGAGCCCGGAGATCAGCATCCAAAGGGTGCGAAACTGCACAAATAAGCGGAGCGCCCGGGCAAGACGTGCCAAGCGGAAGATACGCAGGAACATCGCGCTCGGCACTAGTCTCTCAATGGCGTCCCTGGCGATCATTATGATGATGGGCACAATCCACGACCCGAGAACACCAACACATACGAGGGCCAAATCAAACCTCACCCACGGGTTCCGCAACCACTCTCGACCACAACCAACACTGCGAAAAATGAGCTCCAACAAATAGATGCTGAGAAACACATTCTCCGCGATCCCGAACGCCAGCCGCGACGCTGGAGTTTCATCCTCCTCCGTCGGCGTGACTGTGAGCTCAACGGCAATCATCATCGCATTGAGCACGATCACCGTGCCCATGCTGATGTCGAACTTCGGGTGTGCCAGCAGAGCGAAACAAGACCCACGCACCCAAGCACCAGTACCACCATCGCTGCCGTGAAGCTTGTTCATCTGCCGATTGATAGCAAGTTGCCGAGCGATTCCGTCATCCCACTCGTCGGATTCGCTCTCCTGTGCACCAAGCCTCTCCAGGACTACGTTTTTGTGGTCAAGGAGTGAAAAGCGTTTCGTTTTGGACGCCTTGCGCATGCCACTGGGCCTTGGTCCCGCACGGGTACGATGCTGCTGGGGGTCTACCTTGGTGTCCGCCGCGAAGCTGGTGGGCTCGGAAGCGGGGGGTTTTGGGCTCGGAAGCGGGGGGGTCGCGCTCCCCTCGAGGGCAGGTGGTCACCTCGAACGGCAGCTCGCTGACCCGGGGGACCTCCGAGTTGACAGCGGGACCCTGCTCCGAGGGCGGAGCGTGCCGCGATGGTGAGAGCAGCCTCACCGATCTCCGGGGAGGGGCCGCAGGCGCCGGGGTGCACCTCGTGAGGGCAGCGGGGCCGACGCTCGAACATCCGAGCTGGTCCGGCCTCTCGAGCACCTGGTGCGGGTGCTCCGCCCGCGTGCCGGCGATCTGGCGCAGGAGCTGGAGCACCTCGGTGAAACTGACATTCCCGTCTTCGACACACCCTGCCGGCGTTGATTTTTTTTTTGTTCCAGCGCTATGTTGGGGGAAGAGGGAGGAAAGCAGAGGGGAACGAATCGCGAATGAACTGCCGAGCCGTCCCTCTCGATCTGATCGTCTGCCAGCAGGGCGCTACAATGTGCCACACCCTGCCGGCGTTGATGGTCGGCATGTCACTGCCGTTGCTGCCAACGCTCGGAGCCTGGTGTCATTCCCGGGCGTCGGCATGCTGGTACCGATCCCCTTGGACCCCTTCCTGAGCTGCGGCAAGGGTGGAACGGCGAGGACGGCCACCAGGGCCGATCAGAGTGACTGCTTGAGCCGACATGGGCACGGAGGGTTGAACCAAAATGGCTGCGGACTCTCCTGGAGCGCTCTTGAGCTGAATTCGGGGTCTTCTGGACCGTCTCGGGGCCCTGTCGGGGGCCTCTTGGGCCGTCTTGAAAAGTTTTGGGGGTTTCTTGGGCTGTCCTGGAAAATCCCACCAGCCCTCTGGGCGCAGGTGGTCTAGGGCGTTTCCCTTTCCAACCTCCTTCCTTTCTCTGCTCGGGAGGTTTACCTCCCCGCCCCCCTCCCTGGGTCTGGACGGGCTCCCCCGCGATGTGTCAGAGCGTCCTTTTGGTCCAAGAGAGCTCCAAGAGGGCGTTAGAGGGCCCAAGATGGCCTCCAAGATCGCCCAAGATACCTCAAGATGGCTCAAGATAGCCTCCGACACGCATCCAAGAGGTCTCAAGTCGGCCCAAACTCAGCTTCAAGTGCCCTCCGAGCCCTCTAAGGACCCCCCAAGAGGCCAAAATCCTTCAAAAACCTGAAGAAAATCAATGTGTTCGGCATTATCGCGTGTTCGCCTCCGATGGGCTCTTGAGGCCTCAAGATGGCCCTAAAACGGCCGAAGATAGCCGCAAGAGGGGCCCAAGAGGCCCCCAAGACGGACCCAAGAGCGCCCAAGAGCGCTCCAAGAGCGGGCCAAGAGGGCCCCAAAACAGAATTCGTGAGCCCCAGGGGGGGCGATGGGAATTCAGACCCTCCTTCTTTTTGAACAATGGGGCCCACGACGGTCCCAAGAGGCCTCCCAGACCCCCCCAAAGAGCCCAAAGAGGGCTCCAAGACCCCCCCAAAGAGCCCCAAGAGGGCCCCAAGAAGCCCCCAAGAGGACCCCCAAAGATGGCGCCCAAATGGCATTACGAGTCTTCGAAGAACCCCTTTACCACGACATATCCCCATCCCCAAAGCCTGACTTCTCGTCCTCCATGTCTTCTTCCGTTCCGTCCTTGCTTCTTTCCTGCCGCTTCCATGCTCCTCTTCATCCTCCTCGCGCCGCGTTCCTCCTGTTCCTCCTCCTTCCCGTCCTCCTTACGTATTTGTCCTCCTCCTCCTCCTCCTTCTCCTCCTCCTCCTCCTCCTACTCCTCTTACCCCCAAGATGGTCCCAGGTATTACCAGCACCATCAGCACAAGCAGTAGTACCAACATCAACACCAGCAGCAGCAGTACCAGAAGCAAAAACTACAACGACAACACCACATCAGCTACAGCACCACCGACACCCTTCGCCACAAGAGATATCCCAACTCACTGGTGTTGCAAATTTCCGGATTCGGTGGAGCTCCCTATGGGGCCACGGAACGTGCGAGGGTGTGCCAACATGGGAGGGAGGGGAGGAGGGAGGAGCGGGAGGAGGGGGAGGAGGAGGATGAGAGGAGAGGATAGTAGATGAGAGGAGAGAAGAGAGGGGAGAAGAGTAGAGGAGAGGAGTGGAGAGGGTGAGACGCGGGGCGCTCTTCAAAACGAGGACCGAACACCACAACATGTTTTGGAGCTATATGCATATAATACATCTGGCGACCGGGTGCCCGGGCCCTGGGGCGACTACTCTTTTTAAACTCCCCACTCCCCCCCGCAACCCACTTCAGTCCCCGGCGCTGGCGGGCCCCCAAAACAACCCAAGAGGGCGCCGAAACTGCCCAAGAGGCACCCAAGACGTCCCAAGCGGGCCTCAAATGCGGTGTTCGCATGCGTCCCCACACCCGATTCTGCACATCCTCACACGTTTCGTGGCCCGATATGGAGCTCCACATAGAGCCCCAGTGGCGGCGTTCGCATGCGTCCCCACGCCCATTTCGGCACACCCCTCACACGTTTCGTGGCCCCATGGGGAGCTCCACCGAAGGCCCCAGAGGCGGTGTTCGCTGCGTATTTGGAACACCCCTCACACGTGTCGTGGCCCCAAAGAGAGTTCCACCGAAGGCCCCACTGGCGGTATTCGCATGCGTCCCCGCCACCCGATTGGGGACACCACTCACACGTTTTGTGGCCCAATAGGGAGCTCCACCGCAGGCCCCAGTGGGGAGGGGTTCGCATGCGGGAAAAAATGGCTCTCTGGAAAAAGAACTGGCTCCCCGGGAGAAAGGTGGGTTCTCGGGATGAAAGAAGCCAAATGCAAAGTCGGTTAGTTCTCCGGGTGTGACCCTTACAGGTTTCCCCCCCCCAAAAAAAAACCTAACCCCAAATACCGAGCCCAAACACCAAACACGAAACACCGAACACCAAACACCAAACACTAAACCCCAAACACCAAACGCCAAACACCAAACACCAAACACCAAATACCAAGCACCAAACCCCAAACACCAAACCCCAAACACCAAACACCAAACACCGAACACCAAACGCCAAACTACAAATCCCAAACATCAAAACACTAAACACCAAACACCACACCCCAAACACCACACACCAAACACCAAACCCCAAAATCCAAACACCAAACCCCAAATCACAAACCCCTCACACAACACCAAACCCCAGACACCAAACACCAAACACCAAAATCCAAAACCCAGACACGAAATCCCTATCACCAAACACCAAGACCCAAACAGCAAACACGCAACCCCAAACCCCGAACCCAAACCCCAAACACCAAACACGAACCACCAAACACGAAACATCAAACGCGCGCCGCCGCTCGGGGCGCAGTCAACCCGCACAGTAAGGATGGGCAACCTTCCCAAGCGTACCCTCGCATCTTTGCCCCTTCGGCCCATCTTTGCTCAACCTCGTTCACAAAGCCGTTACCATGGGCCTTCAAAGCTCTTGCACCCTTACCGCGCATCCTTATGATACGGATTGGCCGTGGGTAGGAGGATGTGGAGGAGGAGGGGGAGAAGGAGGAGGAAGAGGAGAAGGGGTAGCGAGAGGAGATGGTGATGGCGATGATGATGCTGATGCTGCTGCTGACGGTGACGATGATGATAATTAGTTGTGATGATAAATAATGAGGATGGCCGCAAGGATGGCGACGACGACGATGATGATCCTGATGATGACGATGGCACTAGTGGTGATGACGATGACGATGAGGATGAGGATAATCAGGATACTAATGAGGATAAGGAGCGGGAGGTGAAAGAGCATGCGGGAACGTGAAGGAGGAATACTGATGCGGACGAGGGTGATGATTAAGAGGATTGATTCGAACGGGGGCAACGGGAGGGATGAGGAAGATGATGATGATGATGATGATGATGATGATGATGATGATGATGATGATGATGATGATGGTGATGACGAGGCGGATGAGAATGAGGAGGAGGCGGAGGGGAAGAGCAGGAGGATGATTGAGGCGACCAAGGGGACGAGAGTGATGATGATTATGATGACGACGACGATGATGATGCTGACGATGATGATGATGATGATGATGATGATGATGATGATGATGATGATGATGATGATGATGATGATGATGATGATGACTGAGATTACGTCGACGGTCATGACGACGATGACGATGGGGATTACGATGAGGAGGATCAGGGGGAGGAGGGAAAGCAGAATGAGGAAAATGCGGAGAAGAGGACGAGGAATACTGATGCGGGCAAGGGTGATGATTAAAGAGGAGGATTACTGATGAGGGCGAGGGGAACGAGCGGAATGGGGAAGAGAACGATGAGATGAGACGGATGAAAACGAAGAGGACGAGTAGGAGGAGGAGCAACATGATGGGAGGAACGATCAGGATAAGAACGATGAGGATAAGCAAAAAGCGGTGGAGGAGGAGGAGGAGGAGGAGGAGGAGGAGGAGGAAGAGAAAGATGGGGATGAGGAGAAGGAGCAGCAGCCGCAGGAGGAGAAGATGAGGATGAAGGAGGAGGGACTAGAGGAATATGAGGGGCAATAAGGAGGAGAAGGAGAACTATGATGAATGATGAGAGTGATCACGCTGATGATGTGGTGGTGGTGGTGGTGATGAGGAGGGGAAGGCTTGCCAATGTAACAATGGGGCTGATGATTGTCATGGTGGTCGGG